TTTCAGGAGCCCTTTAAACCCTTGATTTTTTATTTTTATTTTTTGTTGTTGTAAAATTGTCTGTTGTGCCAGTCATACAATTTAGGCGTGTATATATCGCCTGTTCTTTTGTATGAATTTGGGGATTTGTTTTCACCTTAGATATAGCTTTTGATTGTGGAGTAAAACAAAGCAGGAACAAAATATTACTTCTATCTAGAAAAAGGGATCAAACCCACCATTTTTACCGTGGGTTTTGATATTCTTTCAGTAAATTCAAATAAAGTTTCAATATTTTTCCTTTCAAACAAGAACAAACACAACAGTACAGAAATTTTTGTTCCGGGAAAGCATTAATTTGACTGCTATGCATGGTGGGATACTGCTTGTATATGGGAATGCAAGATAGTTTGCTTCTGCATCTCATTCACAAAGTTAGATCTTGGATCTTCTTGGGAAATAGTGATATCGATTACATACTCGGTGGATTCGAGACGACGATGGATAGTAATAGCAGCATATGTTGGATTTGCAAAAGGGGTGTACAAAAATTCGACCTCAAGTACCACTGTCAAAGCTGCGGGAGCATGTCCTGCGAGAACTGTGTTGGGCAGGAACATGTGAATGAGGAATTTGGGAGTGTATTTAGAATGAAGTCTTGCAAGCTTTGCCGTGATCTTTCTCGGCTGAGCAAAAGTGATCGAAAATGCAGTGGTAAAGTTTATCCTTCTGAGTCCCCAAGGCAAAGCCCGGAATTGCCGTCACCAACTTTTAGTGGTGAGAGGTTTGACGTCCATTCATCTCCCATGTCAGCTCATTGCTCGACAAGCAGGTGATATTTCTGCTGCAATTTAGATTTGCTAGTCCCTGTTTTGGTTCAATAATCTGTGTTGGTGCTCACAAATTACCAAGAATAAGTTATTTTAGTTTTTTAGATGAAAACTGAGGTTTCAATTGGGTATAATTTCATTTGTTTTTGTTTTTTGTTTTTGTTTCTAGCTTCATGATTATTATTATTATTATCGTTATTCATCATTAATATTTTGGAGGGTATGATGAGTTTTTGAGTGTATGATTGGGTAGGAGATGGAATATGTAATAATGAAGGTTGAGTTAATATTGGCATTGTTAAAATACTAGTTTTTTACATTATTGATAATTAAAAACATGTTAGAATGAATATAGTTGATTATGTGAAAGAATGTGCAATGATGGTCAGTATATTGATTTTTTTTTGTCCTGGAAAGTTTATTAATGTGGTTGGTGGGAGGAAAAAGAAAACCTTAGGTGAATCAATAGTTTAGCTTCTGGAAATATTCTTCAATTGTTGGATGTTGATGTTTGAGTTGAGCATGAACATAAAATTTGGTCCTTTGATAGAATTTGTTGATATTTGACTTTTAAACTAGTGGTTGTTAGAGCTTATGAACAGGACTCTGGAGAACTGATTACATCAACTGTTTGTTTGCTACAGTTTGCACATTTTGCTGATAAAATTTATGTTTATAATATATTGTTAATGCAGGATTGATGAAGATGACAAGGAATACTTACATGATATTTCTGACTTAGATTCGAGTAGTGTTACTGGTAGTAGACATGAATTTTACAACCCCATGTCTTCAGGGTCGAGCCCTTCAGACAGCCCTTCTAGGCTCCATATTAGTCCAAGCCGAGTCGGGCAGTCTCTACAGGTCGATCAAGGTGGGCCCCCACAGCCGTTGGATTTCGAGACCAATGGCCCAATTTGGTTCCCTCCACAGCCTGATGATTGTTGTGACAAGATTGGAAATAAATTGTTTATTTATGATGATGATGATGAGGATGATGATGTTGGGGAAGGGGGTTTTGTTTATTCCCCTACTACTAATATTGATACCGTTTTTTCGGACAAGGAAAAACGAGAATTTGACCATAAGGGAAAGTGGAGGGGTGTGGTGGAGGGGCATTTTACGGCTCTTGTGTCGCAGCTTTTGCAAGGGCAGGGTATAGTTGGCGAGGACTGGGTTGGTATAGTGACTGCTATTTCTTGGCAAGCTGCTAAGTTTATTAAGCCGAATACTAGTCGAGGTGGCAGCATGGATCCGTGTGAATATTTGAAGGTCAAATGTGTGGCTTCTGGGAGTCGAGGCGAAAGGTATATGTTGGGGTTTGTTACTTCTATCTGAGAAAGTTTTCTCATTTCCTATTTTTAGTTATTTTAAAAAATATGTTTGTTAACTCTTTTTATGCATAAGTTGGTTTGTCTAAGTTCATTTTCGTAATTTTCCCCAACTTATTTGGAGCTGTTAAAGAGTTGGAACAAACAGAAAAAGCAATCGAATGTTTAGCCTAACATTATTTAATTAATGAAGGATACAAATTCCAAGTCGTCCACCATGCATTGAGGTTTGAGGAGTTATAAAAATAGTCTTTTGGATATTCATATGGTATATTAAATTATTCATCTGTCAATAAATTTTTCCTAGTGATATACATAATCGGCAAAATAAAATATTGTTTGTGTGAGCCTTACTTGATTTGTTAGATTTATTGATCTTTCATCATCATATCGATGTAATTTTTGACAGACAATTTACACTAGAAATTCGACCAATTTCTATGGTCTATATGTAGTATTATTTTATGATGACATGAATGTAGGTTCCACAATTGGCCATTTGGGATAAGCTCTTGATGAAATTCTGTCTTCTTTGCAGCAAACTCATCAAAGGAGTAGTTTGTACGAAGAACATAAAGCACAAACGCATGACATCCCAATACAAAAATGCAAGGCTACTTATTTTAGGAGGATCTCTTGAGTACCAAAGAGTTCCCAATCAACTTGCATCTTTCGAGACATTACTGCAACAAGTAACTATCAATCCTCTTTTTTCTTACAAATATAACGTCAATGTTGAAAAGAGACTAATGAATTTAATTTATGAAATCAGGAAAATGATCACTTGAAGAATATTGTCTCGAAGATAGAGGCACACCGTCCTAATGTTCTGCTTGTCGAAAAAAGTGTGTCTTCATTTGCTTTAGAGCATTTATTAGCGAAAGAGATATCTTTGGTTTTAAATGTTAAAAGACCACTATTAGAAAGGATTGCAAGATGCTCTGGTGCTAGTATAACTCCCTCTATCGAGCACTTGTCCACAACGAGGTTGGGGCACTGTGAACTGTTCCGCTTGGAGAAAGTTCCGGAAGTACACGAGCCAATGAATCAATTTAATAAGAAGCCATCTAAAACTTTGATGTTTTTCGAGGGTTGTCCCAGGCGCCTAGGTTGCACGGTACTGTAATTGACCTCTGCTTGTCTCAATACGATTCATTTGTTTTGTTTTCCTTCAGTCATGTTGTATTTCGTGCAGTAAAAGTATCTTTTCTTCTCCCTCTAATATATGTTTGTAGTCATAAGAAAATCTAATGCCCTTACTAGATATATATTCTTTTCTGCAGTTATTTCTATCTGTGTGAATGCATTAAAAGTTTGTAAGATCCCAGAAAAAAGATTGGGCTTAAAAAATGCACTCCTCTCTTCAACAGCGCATTTTGTTTGTAGGTTGTACTGCGTGGCTCATTTCGCGAAGAACTGAAGAAGGTCAAACACGTTGTCCAGTATGCCGTCTTTGCAGCATATCATTTGTCCCTCGAGACCTCCTTTCTTGCGGACGAGGGTGCCAGCGTTCCCAAATTACACTCAAAATCATTACTTTTTGGCCCTGAAACCACCACGACTCAAGATAAGGACACCTCTGCCAACACAGAAGAGATTTCTTCCGCCAATGCTAATTTACTATCAGCAGATCTCAATCCGCAAGAATCCCTATCGGAACTTAGCCACACCAACGACTACTCCATTTCCATGCCGAACGAACTTGGATACCGTGAAACACTCTCGGAGGCATATGACGTGGACCGTGAGGCGCGTCCCAGTAGTCTGGACACTGGAATTAATCAAAAGGAAGATGCCGAGTGCTTTTCAACTAACAATGCGCATCCAAGCATATTGGTTGCCTTCTCTAGTCACTGTATGGCGAAGGGAAGTGTGTGCGAGCGGTCACGACTGGTTCGGATTAAGTTTTATGGCCCGTCTGATAAGCCACTCGGGAGATATCTTAGGGATGATCTTTTTGATCAGGTAAATGACGACTATTCATCTACCATTATGTTGTAGGCTTGCAGCCTACTTTACCTCCAAAAAAATAAAATAAAATGAAAATCAATTATTTTTCAGAATTACAATCATTTTTTCCATAACTTCTCTTAAATATATGCAGTCGAATGTGTGCCAGTCGTGCAAGGATCCCGCTGAGGCCCATGTGATGTGCTACACACACCAGAATGCAAATCTCACAATAAACGTCAAGTGCTTGCCCTCGGTTAAGCTTCCCGGGGAAGAAGATGGAAAGATATGGATGTGGCATAGGTGCCTCAGGTGTGCCTACGTGGACGGGGTCCCGCCAGCAGCCCAGCGGGTGGTTATGTCTGATGCAGCCTGGGGGCTCTCATTCGGGAAGTTTCTAGAACTTAGTTTAACAAGCCATACGACGGGCAATCGTGTAGCGGGCTGTGGCCACTCACTGCAAAGGGACTGCCTCAGGTTCTATGGGTAAGTTAAGTTTCTGCAACAATTCAACAGTCCTTTTGAAAGCATAAGTTTTTGCACTCTTTGATTTTCTTCGTCCCTACTTTTTTCTATTTAAAGTCCTTTGCTGTTTGACAGTTTTGGCAATATGGTTGCTTTCTTCCGATATTCTCCGATCGACATCCTCTCCGTTCGTTTGCCCCCATCGATTCTTGAGTTCTGTGGTCCTAATGAACAAGGATGGGTGAGAAATGAGCTGGATGAGGTTTGTGAGAAGTTTTTCTTATTATCAATATTATTTGAAGCAACAAAACAAGTAATCCTGAAAATATATATTTCCAACTGTCTTAGCTTCTGAGAAAAGCAAGAGCTTTTCACGCTGAGGTATCGAATTTTCTTGAAGAATTCAGAGTCAAAAGTTTATCTTTTGTTGATGAATTCTCGGATGCAAACGAGCTGCACAACCATATCCTGGAGCTGAATAACATGCTTTCCGAAGAAAAAAGTTGTTACGAAGTAAGTCGAAAGTCAAATGAATTAATTCTTTACAGCCTTCTTACACAAATAGTATAATTTCTCATTTTCTATTCACAGGGTTTGCTCCAACTAGCTGGCGAAACTCCTCAAAATCATGACCAACTAGCTCCAATCGACATTTTGGAAATGAACCGCTTGAAACACTCCCTTTTGGTGGGGTCGCGCGTCTGGGACAGGAGGCTGTATTTACTGGACACCCTCCTCAAGACTTCCAATCCAAAACTCCCCATTGACCTTACAACTCTTTCAGAATCCAAATATTGCCAAGGACTTTCTGGCCTTTATCTCAGCGTGGAAAATAATGTGCCCGAGCCCCCAAAATTCAATGATGACATCAGCATTACCACTACGTCCCTCGAGCGATCCCCCTCGGCTGCATCGCTCCTTTCGGATCAGATTGACTCCGCGTGGTCCGGCAGTGCTGACCTGGTGATAGCCAAGAAAGAGAGCCCGTCTGTGAAGAGGGTGATGGGTCCCACGAGAGTCTACTCGTTCGACTCGGCCCAGAGGCTGCAGGAGAGGATACAAAAGGGGCTCCCCCCCTCCTCTCTCTACCTCTCCAACCTCCGCTCATTTCATGCCTCTGGAGACTACAGATACATGGTCAGGGATCCTGTTAATATTGCCGCTGTACAGAGAACTTATTCGCAAATATTGCCCCACAAGGCTGAAAAATTAAATATTTTTTCTCCGTATTTTATTTTGCGGGTCCCTGCCCTGCCTGAGGGGGTGAGGCTAATGCCCGTGCAGA